CAGAATTAACCTTAGCTTTACCTTCTGAATTACCTAAATAGCCTATTCAAAAATTGACTATTTAGTCTATTTTTGAATTGACTATTAGTCAGGATTTTGTCTATTACCTATTCGTCAAGAAATTGTCTTGCCTGATCTATTGGGAGACGCGCTTCTTCTGCGCTTCGACAGGCCCTTCGACACAGATTTTTGCATGGGGTCTTTGGGTAGGCTCCGACACGCAACGTACTTGAACTTCTTCACCCCGAGTGCATTGGAGAGGAGTGACCGGAGCTTTGCGCTGATGATGTTTCGATGTTTGGTTGGGACGAAGCTTTCGATAGCCTTGGCGCTGGGGATCTCAGAAGCATTCAGGGAAAGGCGCCTGTAGCTTAACGGTCTGCAGCATAATCAGCGGCAAGAAGCAAATCCCTCGCAGCGACGATCTATGGGGGGCAGGAAAATCTCTGCACAGCAGCTCAAACCCCCATGAGGAAGAGGAAATCCTTACTATCCTTGGCGTTCAGCCACTGGCACTACTGTAGCCAGCGCTTGAGACTCAGCGGCTTTCGGGCCGACCCTCAGTAGTTCTTGAACCCCTCGCCGCACTACCCTCTGAGCCCTCAATCCCACCCAAATCTGGGTGGCCTCAAGGCCCACAAAGGCAGCATCAGCAATGCTTAGGGAGCTTGTAGTCCAGTGGACCCTGCCACTAGCGTGGCTAACACGGCCAGTCAGGCCTTGGGAGTGTTGAGGCTCCCATGATTGCACCAGTGCACTTAGGGAGTTCTGACTCCTTGGCCTGTTTGCCTAGAAGAGTCCTTGAGGACCTCCCATGCGCATGATCATCATCTTCAAGCTGCGTATGTGGCAGGCACTGCTCATCCATAGGCAGAACTTCGCGGCTCGTAGCTGGGGCCCCGCCAGCTTCCCAGGGCAGGGGAGCCCTCCCCCTTACGCCAGAACTCTGTCTTGGAGCCTTCACTCAAAAGTCTCGCTCCTCCACACGCCCGCCATGTTCGCAGAGTTACGCACAACTCCTGCAGGAGCGCGGTCTGGGTGACCCCTGGATCTTCACCAGCGCGCGCTGTGCTTGAGAACAACTGCTGCGCCTTTTTTGTCCCACGTGCCAGTAGACTCCGCTACCATGAGCACAAAGACGAGGGCCTCCTTGCGCCACACATAAGCCGCAGCAACAGCCCCAGTTGCCCTGCCCGGGCAGCGGGAGACCCGCCCAATCCGGGAAGGTAAACTTGGGCTGGGCTTCGCCGGGCCGTCTGTGTGTTGTCAGGGCACTGGGGAAGCAGCAAGCGGCCTGGCAATCGAGAACCCCATTACAGCGGACCATGTGTTAGGGGATGCACAGCTCGGTTGTGAAGATGGCTGGCTCTGAAAAAAGCAGTCCGCGAAGTGGGGTTGGCAGCAAGCACGCATTCCAGTGGAGCTGGCGGCGCTTGTAGGAAAGAGCGGCATCCAGGCTCGTCCACCAGGAAGCTGCCAGAGCAGCAGCAGTTCAGGCAGGTTGAGCGGCAAGCTGCTGCCGCAGGGCTTACTCGACGTGGTGGTGCTCGGACCCATGCCTGGCCCCACGCTCAGCGCGCATCTCCCTGCAGCTCTGTTGCGCAGAGTGAGCGGATGGGTCCGCTTACTTGGTCTCGCTGAGGGTCTAGCCTTGAGCGCGGCCCTTACGGCAGCAGGGTCCCCCGGCAAGACCCCATCGCCGAAATAGTGCACGGCAATGTCAGTGGGCCAGCACGGAGTTCCGCCGCCAGTGACTGAAGCGCGGCCGCAAAAGCAACCCCCTTCAAGCAGCTGCTAATGGGGCCGTCCCCAAACTGCAGACCGCGTAGCACGTTGGTAGCACCATACGGCCCAGCGCGCCAAAGGTGGGAAGTGCTCACAAGCTTGACTTAGTGCAATATCTCGACTAACAATTGAAAGCGCTCTTACAGGAACATGAGTGCATGCGCAGCATGTGCATGTAACTGTACATATCTGTAGCTGTTCAGGACCGCAGCATTAAGACGTGATCCAACACTTTGTACAGAGGTAATAGTCATACCTTCAATGTTTAATCGTTCTTCTTTCTGTGTTGTGTGTTTTGTGTGTAGTTGTGACCTCAGTAGCTTCCTTGCGCGCCATTGTAAAAGGTGATCGATTGCTCAGCCATACTGCTTGACTTCAGCAGGTTACGAGCCCAAGATTAGGCACCTGTTGCGTTATTCCACAAGAACGCAGTAAGGAGATGGCAGGTCATCCTGCAGGCCAGGAAGGTCCACAGCTAGTGATAAGCCTGCAGGGCTGTTCCTTTTCTAGGACTTCTGGCGGAAGTCTTGGACAACCTCTTCGCATGTTAATGCGCTTCCAGCGCAGTCACACGCAGATCTTCCCAGTACGGGAGTCAGCAATCCCTGCGCCTTTAGGCGTGAAGGGCGTGACCCAGTAAGTCACGTTCTTGTGAATTGTAGTAGGACTCCAGGCATGGGTGTTCCTTTGGCGGAGGGCACTCCTACAGTTCCTGCTGAGTATGTGCTACCTGCCGGTTACGGCAACACAGGTGTAGTCAGGTCTGTTGAAGGGGACGGTACTGCCTTGGCCATTCCGTCACCAAGGCTAGTCACGCAGCCACTGCCCAGCCTTCTTCTCCGCCGGGTTTGCCTAGTGAGTACCCACAGGACGAGGGTAATCAGGCAGGTGCAGGAAAGGGGCGTTCCGTTCCCGCGGTAGAAAAGGAAGTCCAAGCGCTGCCTGGGGACATCCAACAGACCATTGGTCGAGAGGGTAATACGCCTGACCCAGTCGGTGCATCGGCTGCTTCATCCTGCGCTGTTAAGGAACAAGCAGGCATCCCCTCAAGAGTCCCAGCAGTCCCAGCAGTAACACAGGCTTCCACCACCCCATGTCAAACGGATACCAATCTTGGGTCAGCAGTCAGGCCGGACGCTATGCCCCATGTAGGACAGTCTGAACCTGTGGGAAGCTGCTCTTCCAAAGCTATCTCGGCGTCAAAGGTTGTTGAGGCCAGAGCATCGAGTGGCCCTGCCTGACATTGATAAGGTAGGAAGTCGGTTTGAGGAGACCTCCTTAGACCATATTGCTAAAAACATGACTCTTCTATACGTTGAAGGTCGTAGTCTGTTTCAACAGGCCAGGGAGTGGAACATGGACGCAGAGATCCTCGCCAGACAAGCAGCTGGGCGCTATCTGACCAACCAGAACCGCTACCACTGCTTGAACGGTGGTAACCCTCCTTGCAAGGGTTTTGGTAACTGCTTGTTGTGGTACGTAGCCTCGGTCTTGGCACCTGGATTCAAAACGAATATCTCCAATCCCACTACTGGAGGTTCATTGGTCGAAGGAGTCATATGGGAATGGATGGCGGATGAAGATCCTACAGCACTTGGCACCCAAGGTGTTAAACTCCCAAAGTGCCCCGAAAAGGTGAAAAGGCACTACTGTTTGAGAAGATTTGCAAGCTGTTTAAGCCAATCACCGACATTTCCTACCACTGCCCTATGCTCTTACGTCACTTGAAAAACATAGAAGTTTGGGGAGATATGCAGTGGTTATGCGTCGCCTATATTCAGCAGGATCAAAGCAAGCCAACATACGTTGATCCTGCGCAGCGAGCCCCAGTACATCAGGACTCCAGTAATAACTTGCCAACTCAACCTGCGCCGCAAGCTTTGCACAAAGCGTCTTGTTCGACACAGCCAGTAATACAGTCTGTGGGTTCTAGTGGGTTGGAGGCCCCTAGCCCATATCCAGTTCAGGAGACTGTTCTGGCAAAAAACCAGACAAAAAACGGCAGATCAAACTGCCTCCAGCAGCAATCAAGCTGCTACAATTCCCGCTGGTGATTCAAAGGATTCTGCTGGTAATCAACCTGGCTTTATCTTGCCTCGTGATGCCCCTAGGGAGCCGGTGTTTGAAGCAGATGTCCGTGATCCAGTTCAGGGACAATTAAAGTTGCGGTCAAGCCATTTAGGTGAGTTATGGTTCTGCCCTAAAGAGGAGTACCACACCTATAGGTTGCGAACCTCGACGGAAAAAGATCCCTTCTGGCGGGTTTCCGTCAAATTGCTTGTTGGGAGCAATGAGTGTCTAAACGAGCACGGTAAAATGCCTGAGTTGGAAAACGCGGGCATAGCAGTGATCGTACCCCCTGACGAGGACGAGTTGCAGGACCCTCCGGGCGAAGGGACCACACCTGAGCTTCTCGCAGGCGATGTGCCTGAAATGCTTGTTCACTACGTGTATGTGTGGCTCCGGCGTGGCACCTTGTGGGCGCGTTTCTACTTGGACGCCAATGACATGGGCCTGATCGCAGTCGACGATCCAGTTGGGTGTCCTGTTTCAGAGATCCGTGACAAATACGTGATCGTACATGGGGTCAGATGGGGCTGACATTGATTGTAAGTCTACCGATCCCAAGTCATCATCAGCAGAAAGCGATGAAAAACAAGGGGATGAAGAGGACCCAGTAGATGATGAGCCATGGGATTTACCCACCATCACAATTGGTGATATCATCTCAGTAAAAGTCATGTGTCCTATGAAAAGGATAATGAGGTGTGGGCTGAAATTGTTGATGACTACAGGTGAGTGGTCATAACGGCTCCCCAACGGTATCTACCCAAGCTTCAGGCAGTGGATGTCATCCAGGAAGTCAAGGCCATAGACCTGCGAGGTCAATACTTTGTCTGTGAAGCTCCACCAAACCTAGCGGTCTTCGACAATGACGAGGAGCATGCCGAAAATCAGTTCCATCCACCATCTCACCAGCAGTATCCTTCCATCGGCGCGCTGAAAGATGAACATAATTCGAAGTCTAGTAGATTGTGTAAATACTATCCTCAAGGCACATGCTCGCTTGATTACTATTGTAATTACAAGCATTTCGAGTCACATGCTCCTGCTGGGTGGTCTTTCGATGAGCTTGACAACCATGGAGACATAATTAAGGGGCATACCTGTTGCAAACCGTCAACCTTGCTATCATTGGAGAGACGGCTCCTGTAGGTTGGGGAACTCATGCAAAAATGTGCACTATACAGGCCTGTATGGGCACATGATAATGCACCACCGCAGGTAGCGAGTCAGCCTGCACGGTCAAGCGAGCCTGCGGACGCATCGAAGAGTCATGGCCTTCCTTGCAGTCACAGGGTGGCAATTCACAGGCTTTGCCAAGCAAGTGGCCTGCACCTTCCCAATCTACAGGTAACACTGCGCCTCCAACAGCAATGCAACCGCCCTCTCAGGGTGGAGCAATAGGTCGTACACTTCCTGATCGCAAAGATTGGGCAAACATAGTTGAGAAGTGAGAAGGTTTTTCCATTCGTTCTACCCCAAGAACTTAAACTAAAAATGAGCAGGCTGTGAGGGTGAGGGATGGAAGTAGTCTGGTAGCTACACGCTATGTTGACCTTCCTCCGCACTGGCAGGCGCCATCAGTCAATCCCCCTGGCACCTGCGTGCCATCAGCCTCCATACGTAGCAAAATGGCCGCAGCGGCCGAGACGCAGGTTTATCCATTCTCACAGCGCAAGCAGGTGGTTACTGACGGTAATACACCTGGTGACCAGGAACCCTCGGCCATGTTGGCGACAGGTGCTCGTGCTTCTGGGGCACATTTGTCTGAAAATGACCAGAATATAGTTTGTGGCAGAAGCGATGT